TTCATTTTCTGCCATCGGCATCTTATGTGAGTGTGGCTGAGGCTCACTCATGTTGGTATAAGCCCATTTATCATTTCCATGTCATTTCATCACATCTTATCATTGCTTCGGTTTGCGCGCCCGTGTGCACGCTTCACAAACCACAGTCAGATGGATCAGCAGAACACGTCAGGGATGGAGGCAATGATGCGCCAGATGCAAGAAAGTATGAAACTCATGCAGCAGGATGCTGCTCGTCAGGAGGAATTTGCCAAACAGCAGGCTGCGATCATGGCTCAGCAGGCCGAGCTCATCACCAAGCTGCAACAGCAAAGCGACGCGTCCACTTCACAACAAGTTCCTCCCCCAGCAGGAGCTCCAGCACCTGAGGAGGCGCCAAACGTCCAGGATGATACGGACATTCCAGACGGGCCGGCTCCACCCCCAATTTTACCTCAACTATCCAAAACACCTACCAATCTACCGAACTCTCCCTCCGGGTTCGAGGTTGACCCCACAGCGTTGAAGTTGAGCAAGCTTGAAAAGTTGTTCAAGAAATCCCAGGGGGTAAAGTCCATCCCGGGCATTGAGGACGGGTACACCGACGTAGCTGTAACTCTGCCGGACAGGTTCAAAATGCCTCACATCGACCGTTTTGATGGGTCAGGAGATCCCATGGTCCACTTGAGCTTGTTTTCAAATGTTTTGCGCCCGATGGGCTTGACAAGATTACAGAAGCTCTCCCTTTTTGGCAGGACCCTGTCGGGTATTGCAGTCACCTGGTATGCCAAATTGGAAGATTCAGTAAAACGAAGCTGGGAGGAGATGGCCGAGGCCTTCGTCGCACAATATTCATACAATACCCAAATCGAGGTTACGACCCGTGATCTTGAGACAATGAGGCAGGAGCCGAAGGAGAGCTTCTCGGAATTCGTGACCCGGTGGAGGGCGAAGGCCTCGATGATGACCATTAGGCCTACTGATAAGGATCAAATTCGGATGATTGTGCGCAATCTCCAGTCCAAGCTAATGCAGAGAATGATTGTAATCCCCTTTCCCACTTTCTCAGATTTACACGATATGGGGGTACAGATTGAGGACGCTATGAAGCAGGGCCTTTTTGACCAGGAGAAGGAGCAGCCTAGGAGGGCGTTTAACCGCAGTTCGAATGCGACCACCAGCGGTGATGCAGCTGCGAGATCTTCTGATGTGGGCATGGTGGCTACCACCGTATCAAAAACGGCTACCCCATTTACCGGTACGTCCGGAAGTAGCTCACAAGGAACCAAATATCCACCCCGAGTCAAGAGGGTTTTCACCCCGCTATTTATGCCTTTGTCAAAAGCTCTAGAGGCCTTAATCCGAAAAGGACATCTAAAGCCATTGGAACAACGACCTTTACCTGATCCTATCCCTGCAAAGCATGATCAGACTAAATACTGCGCCTACCATCAGCAAACAGGCCATACTACCGACGACTGCTTTCGTCTGCGCCATGATGTACAAGATCTGTTTGACAACGGGGTCATCCCTGCACCAGGTCCTACAAAGTCTATCGGCACTTGATCAGTGAATTTATGGTGGGATAATGTGATGCGATCCA